CTATAGAGAGCTTAAGCTTCTGATTCAATTGGAATTTGGCTCTCCATTTTTGAGATTATGAATTATTGTTCGACATTCATGAATTGCATAGTGATTGGAATTGTTAACAAGTCTGAATTTGAAAAATTGATAGGGGATACTGATCCTCTATTTCAAGCTCTAGTCTTAGCAGCTATAGAACATATTTTATTACTTATTAAATATATTCTTGGAGTTGCAATTCCTGATTGCCCTTATTGGGTATCTAAAGAATTAAGAAAATATGCATTTTTAGAAGAGAAAAGTGCGAAGCTACATGATGATAGTGAGATTAATCTTTAATTTTGATTCTTTTATAATTATTGTTTCTATTATGTAATGTCATAAAGAGTTCTTTTGGTAGTTTTTTTTGTTAATATTTCGTTCTCTTGAATATTTCAAAATAGATGCTTTCAAAATGATATAGAAAAAAGAAACTTTGAATATGCAAATCTGTTAAAAATTTTCTTTTATAAATTGAACAATTCTTTCAATAAATTTGGCTCATTTCTTTATTTTTCACTTTCAAGAAGTTGAAATTTTGCAAGCACTAAATAAATTCTATTATTATCTTTTATGAAAAGTAAGTAGAATATTTTTATAAGAAGTGTCTGCCAAAAATTTTTAAAAAATTACAAATAAAAATTTCTTATGAAACCTCTTATATTGTTATTCATTGCTTATGAAATTTCTGCATAAATCACTCTTGATGTAAGATAAAAATGTGATTGTGAATTATTCAAAAATAAGAATGACTGTCTTTATAATAATGCATGTTAATGGAGCAACTAAAAATGTTTAAAAGATGATTAGAAAAAATGCACTAAATACAAGAATATGGATTCTTGTTATGTAAATTTGTTTAATATAAATATAATTAATATTAATTAAATATATATATAATGATTGTAATGTAATTCAAAAATACTAAGTCAATAAAATACAACTATTTTATGGATTGAATATAGAATATATATTGGTAATAAAGATAGTTTCTTTTTTACGTAAAAAGAAAATTTCTTTTTATCAATATATATTTTATATTAAATCAATAAAATAGTTGTATTTTATTGACTTAGTATTTTTGAATTACATTACAATTCATATTATATAATAAGAAAGATTCTTTGTGTTATTGGTATGAAAACGAATGCTAAGACAGACAAAATTGTAGCAATTTTTTGGAAAAGGATTGCCCACGTGAAATGAATTGTTACTTAAACATGAATGATGAATGCACATCTTTTACAAAATGTGAGGATTATGCTTCAAATGTAAACTGTGGTTATGCTCAATGTTGTCCTGATGGAGGCCAAAAATCCGATAATTCTGAATATTGTGAAGTTACTTCTTGCAGTGATTATACAAATGAGACAGAATGTCACACTAAAGTTATTTCTTCTTAAAAAAATATACTCTGTGGATGGTCAAATAAAGGCACTTGTGATAAAATAATGGCGAATCATTAAATCTGTGATGTTTATGATAATTATAAGGGAATTTGTTTAATAAATTAAGGTTATTGTTATTATGCAGATGGAAAATGCAAACCTAAGGAATGTGAAGACTTTACAACATAGCTTCGTTGTGAATAAGGATAAATCTCAAATATAAATATTTTCACTTTTTGTACATGGAAAGGTTTTGTTTGCTAATTAACAAAAGATGAGGAATTAGAATCTTTTTGTGATAGATATCCACCATATTTCTATAAAAATGAATAAGGAAAATGCCAAGCATGTCATGATGTTCAGTAAAATTCTTCTTGGTTTGGGGTTGGGTTT